TACTAACTGTGCTACTTCTACTACCGCCATGACCGTTGATTGTCAACACACAGCACTACTCGCTACGGTTCCCTCCCTAACTGCCTGATTTTACAGGAAATACATAAATATGAAGAGCATATGTGTGAGCCCGAATCATGGAAGCAGTTTGGGGCCCGAAACAGACCCGAATTTCCCTAATATAGATAAATAAGTAATTTCCCCCATGGGATTATTAAAGTATTTCTGATTCTGATTCTGATTCTGATAAATCATTTAAATACTTTATTACAAGCTAAATTATTATTAAAACTAATAACAAATAAATGCATCATTAATCGAGTTCGGGCAGAGATTTAAACCGTACGGTCGTCCACCACAACCACCCCATAACAGATGAAAACAATTTAATAACATCCAAACTGATTTGTGGCAGCCGGTTGTATCAGGACATGAACAGAGTCATTAACAGACTACAGGAACCTGAACTCACCGTCTCTGTAGATGGACTCTTCTAACGGCTTCGGGTGCATTAATGTGAAAGGAAGCTCGACAGAGACGTCGCTGGAAAACAAATCATTATCTGCATTACAGGCGATCCACAGCAGCTCTATTACACACAGTCATTAACGGTGATGTGTTCAGGCGACCTTTGTAAATCTCAGTGTGTGGTTTGTATCAGTGTGTTCATCGATGATCTCAGTGACGTGACATAACGTGAAAGGTTACCTCGCCGCCAGATCTCCCAGGAGCCTGAAATCAATAAACATTTAACAGCTTCAGTGTCTCAGCAGCAGCACTTCCACTCACTTCTACTGATCATTAACACTTGTGGTGTCACAGAGCCGCTAAAGGCCGACTGTGTGATCTGTTTCTGTTCAACCCGCTGTCCAGTTTCACTCGCAGGAGGGAGGAGATTTAGAATCAGAGCATCCAAATGTCAGGATGAATCACGCTAATTATTTTCCAAACAGCGAGCCAACTCCAATGAACTACAGAACTACAATAACAGCCACCGTCTGCAGTGATGGACGGCTGGAGGGATCAACAGAGACTGAGCACACAACACACTGAAACTGAGCTTTAAAGTCGAACTGAAATCTACCTTTTCACTTTTTCTGTGAATGGTCTGAGCCGCACCGGAACTGGAACGCGTCACGGCCAACTGGAACATGGTGGTCAAAATCATGGAGTAACGCAGAGTCAAGAATGAGTGTACAGGGTAGCGTATAAAGTGTTCCAGCTGATAATGGCCGTTCTCCACAAAAAAAAAAAACATAGAAAAAAGGAACCATTTCACTACGCAGGCCACGGTAGAAGCACAAAAATCATCAAATCAACAAAATATGGCGGGCAAAAAACTCTGGACCCCAGTGAGGTCTGAAGCCCGGGTGAATTGAGGCAAACGTACAGTCAGAGTAACGCACAGACTAACGCAGGTGGTTATAATGAGTTCAGTTGGACTGTAAAGCTCAGCTAATTATACGTTAAACACAAAGCAGAGTGTACTGACCCGCCTCGGGACACGACCAGCTTCACTTTGACCTTGTACGACACGATGATGCCGAGGATCTCCTTATTGGCTCCTTCTCTTAACCTAAGACAGGATATAGATATTCAGTCTGACCAATCAGAGTCATTTCAGCTCTCAGCAGATCATCACGTACAATTAATAACAGAAAAAAAAGAGAAAGTAGTATTATTATTTGTTCTGTAATTTTACATAATTACAGAACAGTAACAGTATTAACAGTAATAAACTTGAATTTAACAGTTTAATCTGTTAAATAAACAGTAAATATCTGCAATAGAAATAACTGTATTTTGTACTCCAGCTGCTGGAATATTACAGTTTTTTAAAACGACACATCCTCCAGAACCTGGAGGAAGTAGGGTTTGGTTACGTAGTAGGTGCAACCTAACTTAGCATAACACTTGTGTGCCAAATGTAGATTGACGGTTACTGGTTAATTCATTAATTTTCTAATTATACAAACAATAGTGCTTTAGTAGCTGAATGGTTTCTACTCATGCTACGTAACCACAAGATCGGCGGTTCAATTCCAGCCTGCCCGACTCTCTCCCCATGTTTACTCTCAAACTGTCCAGTTCTGACATGAAGGGCCACTCGCACTTCTGTTTTTTCCTACAGTCCCTGGAAGGCATCACGAGTGCCATGGGACTCACAGTGTGCTGGAGGCCAGGTTGGTGTCCTCATGCTTCAGTTTTCCATCCAGAGCGAGGCCTCGTTTCTCTCGGTTGTTGGCCAGGAATGGAGTGAGAGTGAAGACTTTGCAGAAAGTCGAACTGGGAGCAACCACGTCACTGAGGACAGAAGATATCTTTGTGGTAACTTTGTCAACCAAATCCTTAAACTTGATTCATTTGAAACTATTATTTTAGCACTCTATGGACCTCTGATCAATCCTAAATCATTTCTCAAGTCCTTACTAAGATGGTTCTGAAACTAATACCAGTATCTGAAACTCTGTGACAACGTTTGTGTCTGTGTCTGCTCCTGATACTTCCCAGTAGGGTCACGTCTTTTTACCCCGGATAGTGAAGTCATGAGCTGGACTCATGAGCTCACAAGAGGCTCCAAGCTATGTGTTTGTGTTCACAGTGGTTTTAGACCAATCAGCGTCCTTTGAGGAACTACTGGCAGCTACGGGTGTGGTGACGTGTGTGAGAGGGCTAAAGAGGTTAGCATAGCTGCTGTTAGCGTCAGTTTTATCAGAACTGGAGAGGATTTCTTCATTGAAAGCAGAACAAGGAACGACACTGCAGCTTTTCTCAGTGGAAAAGATGTTTTCGTTCTTGCCCAACTAACTTCAGTAAGAGTTTGACTACGTTATAAGGTTCATTGATCTGATTGGTTGAAGTCGATAGACAGTTCAAGGAGTCCAAACTGTTTCCAACAATGATGAGATGATTTTTAGCACACAGGTATCAGGTCAGTACTCAGTATTAGCCAAAGTCAAGTTATTTGAATCGGTCATTGGTAAGGAAAATATATTACCAGAACATCTCTAAAAGTTTCCAATTTGAACATCTCCAATTTAATTTCTCAAGCTGGGTTAACTCAATGGACCTGAATGGACCTTGTGAAGAGAACATTCTGAAATGAGACTCACTCTGACTCCTCGGTGGCCACAGGACATTTGTACTGAGCCGTGTTGAAGAGGCAGATATCTGCGTACTGTCGCACTGCGGAAACACAAACCAGTGATCAGTAACACAACTGCGACACAGAGAGAGAGGACGGCTGCTGTGAGGTACCTGAGATCTTCATCTTCTTCACCGTCTTGTTGGTGTTGTTGGTAACGTGAACATTGACGCTGATTGGCTCCCCGTGATAATAGATCTGAGACAACAAGCAGATACACAGAGATAATTATTGTAATTACCTTTATCTTAAAGGATAACACATTTAATGACCAGGTTGTGAGCAGATATCAATCATCATTTAGTTTAAATCCATATTTTAGGATTATCTGTACTTCCTGTTCTGTTCTACTAGATAGAGTTATATTTAGACTGCTGTGTGGTTTTCTACTGATAGTCAGTTCATCGACCGACACCAGGCCGGGCTAAACGAGCACAAGCAACAAACCTTTTGACCTCTTTGGCTGAGCCAGACTTTAGGTATTGTTGCTGTTGTGTGAGTCTTTTGAAGTTATAAAAGTGATTAACGACAAACGGTATAACCAATGGGATGCAATGTAAATACAAATCTCCACATATGCTCCCGATGTACAGCCATCGCATCGCGCAGTATCGCCTCATATTATGCTATCACATAAACCATTAACTTGGCTGGTTAGCTTGCTGGCTAACATAGGCAGTTATTTTTTTTTTGCATTGACAGTATATAATTACTGGACCGAAGCTTTCAGGTCTGTAAAGTAAAGCCAACACGGAAGTGTCTTAAACTTGCATTCTCTGTCACAGCCAGCAGGGGGCAGCTCCACTCTGATAGTATTGAGTATTATGGAGAAGTTGATTGATGAGCTCATATGAGAAAGTTTCCTGATGAGTTTCTGGTCTCAGTCTCTAGTTTCAGTCTTCTTCCATACAGCATGATGTTCATTTAGTAACTGATGGTCCCATTTAGAGTCAAACAGACCATAAAGGCAGGGGGATCTTTTAGGGCGGGGGCTACCTTTGTGATTGAAAGCTCAATATATCAGTGGGGTCCGTCCAGCTCAATGAAAAAACTCCCCCCAAAAAATCACACTAAGTAATAACACTAAAAACATGAAAAATACACTCAGGGCATTTAGTATGAGGTGGTGTATGTATGGTTCAGGTGGGTGTATGGAATGGGGTCAGGTCTGTATTTGGATGGTCAGGTGTGATGGATGTTCAGGGTGTATGGATGGTTCCAGCCCGGGCGGGCGGGGGGGCGGGGGGGCGCTGGTGTAATTTGGATGGCTTCAGGTGGTGTATGGATGGTCAGGATGTTCTATGGAGGGTCAGGTGTGTATGGATTTGCGGTTCAGGCTGTGTATGGGCATGGTCAGGGTGTGTATGGGATGGTCAGGGTGTGCTATGGTGGTCAGGGTGTGTATGGATGGTCAGGTGTGTATGGATGGGTTCCAGGTTGGTGGTATGGATGGGTTCAGTGTGTATGGATGGGTTTCAGGTGTGTGATGGATGGGTCAGGTGTGTATGGATCGGTCAAGGTTGTGTATGGCATGGTTTAGGTGTGTATGGCATGGTTCAGGTGTGATGGATGGTCAGGTGGTGTATGGATGGTTTTCAGGTGTGTATGGATGGGTCAGGGTGTTAGGGATGGTCAGCGGTGTGTATGGATGGTCAGGTGGCTGTATTGGTATGCGTCAGTGTGTATGATGGTTCAGGTGTGTATGGATGGTCAGCGTGTGTATGGGGATGGTCAGGTGTGTTTATGTGGGATGGTTCAGGGGGTGTATGGATGGGGTCAGGTGGTGATGGATGGGTCAGGTGCTGTATTGGATGGGTCAGGTGTGTATGGATGGTCAGGTGGTGTTATGATGGTTCAGGTGGGTGTATGGGATGGTTCAGGTTGTATGGAATTTGGTTCAGGGGTGTGTCGTTGCTTTTTGTCTGTTCCAGCTCTCTCTGGCTCACCTCTTTGTCCAGAGGAGGGGCCTCCAGGTGCAGAGGTTTGTCCGACCATCAGGAAACTGTCTGGTGGTCTCTGCAGGTTGGGGCTTGGGAGGACCAGGGTTTCTCTGGGGGAGCATACTGAACCTTCCGGATCACCAGGACGCACCGAGTTCCTGCACAACAAACAACAACACTGATTGGCCTACCACTCTGGATTATGTCAGCAGCGTCCTCTCTGTGTGCAGGAAGCTGCTAATGCCACGGAGTATTTCACTTTCATTCATAATTCATCTCTCTCTGCAGCGGGATCACTTTTACCTTTATGGATCTTTCTCAAACATTTTCTGCACAGAAAGGACTTTCACCTCAAAGACGACTCCACAGGCCTTGAAGAACAACAGCAAGAAAGTTTCATATGTTAAACCTCTTCTACTCTACTTCCTCTACTTAGATAGATAAACATGGGGCGCCCTTGGGAGGAAAGCATTAACCTTCAACCTGCTGCTGGAGGGGCTGCAGCACTATGGAAAAGAAGTTAAGTCTTTACCTTCCCAGTGTCCTCTCCGGTGCCAGGGCTGGACAGGAGCATGGCAGGGTTTAGAGGAATCTGAAAACACAGCAAAGGAAAAACATATAAAAAAGCTGCAAAATGATAAGGGATACCGATTTCTTAAGACAAGTGAGCTGACTATGTGCATTTATTGGAAAGGGCGAAAATAATTACCACTAAAAACACTAAAATACACTAAAAACAAGCATAAATACATTAAAAACACACTAAAGTTACACTAAAAACAATAATAATACCAAGTAAAAATCTTGAGAAAAATACACTACAAAAACACACAAACTGCTGGCCTGGGACAGCGACAATTTCAGGGGCAACAAGTACCTCATGAAGGTTAATCATGCTGGGGATTGGCTCTTGCATGATGATTAATCAATTAAATGGAAGTTCACTCAACATTGGGGTCTGCGGACGTCGAGTACCTCGAAAGTGAACGGCGTGGGGGCGTGTTCTCCCAGTTTTTTAACAGGCCGGTTCTTGGAAGGACGAGTGAAGACTCTTCTCTTCGGGGGAGCGGCGGAGGGGAAACGCCTGGGACGTTCGCCACAAACAGGTCTTTCCGAAACGTCAACCCGGAGGACGGTCCAGATCCTCGCGGA